ACTTATTGTATAAGTAGCAAAATCTCTTCTATAGGTTTTCTAATAATAACATCAATTATATTACTCCGCAGTAACTACCAAAACACTTATATTTATCTTCTATAAATAGAAAATTCTCTTATATTGTCTTTCTCTAATAATTTGTTTTTGAATAGTCCTCATATATGCCTTCTACAATTAACAGATCTGTTTTCCTTTCGGGACACCCCAATATATATATATATATATATATATACACATGTATATTTTTATTGTCAATTCACGATGACACACATTTGTGTGCATGTATTTGTTGGTGTTGTTGCTGTTGTTTTTGTTTATTTCGTTTGTATTTTCAGTCGTTGTTGTTGATGTTTTTCGTTATTTCATATATTGAATATATATAAAAGGGTAGGTGGGTTTGGATGTGTGCAGCTATTTGACAAACTAACTGAGGCACACACACACCCATGTGTGCGAGTGTGTGTGTGATTGCATTACAAATCTCGGTGACAGTGCCCATTGTACGAACGGGCATAAAAGAATCAACGAATCGTCCTCTCTGGCATATGCAACGATGTTTATATGCTAGGACATGGGCAAACAAATGGACAAACTGGTGGCATGCAGTGGAAAATCTACTTTGTGTGTAATGCAAGGAAAAAATGGATTTGTTTGTATGCAAGCCCAAAAGCTAGGCGAACAAACAAATTCGAAAACACACACGCACACGGGAATGGGAGGTAGATGGGGGTGCTAGGGGGTACTCACAAAAACTATCCTACACACAAAAGCCATGTGAAGAAAGAATGGCGAGTGAGAGAGCGAAAAAAAGACGGCAACAAAAATATATCCAACTAATGGGCGTTGAAAATAATGATAAAAGCATACAATGTCGACAATAATGTATATGGCACACACACATACACGGGGATGCACATGCGAGCGTGTGCCAGATACACATGTGTGCGTGTATTTTTTATTTGGAACTTTGTTAAAATTGCATTTAAGTTACAATTTCGTTTTCCATTTAAATTTCAAATCAATGCTGTTTACCACCTTACCTTACCCTCATTTTCCGTTTTTATTCCCCTTTAGGATCACAAGCTGAAACACATGGCCGAATTACAACAATCCGTGGTTACCGATCAGGACACCCGTCTCCAAATCCAAGGTCAAATCCTGCAATGGGAAGAGAATTTAGAACGTTTACACTGTGAACAATTCCGTTTGCGTTGCTACATGGCATCGCTGCAGAGTGGCGAATTGCCCAACCCTAAGGTAAGACGTTGTCGCATTGAAAATAACAAAATCTTAAATCGACAATTCTTGTTACAGTCCTTGCTCACCCATGTCTCTCGGCCCACAAAGAATACTCTCAATAAATTGGGCGTTTTTACGGTTTCCTCTTTCCATGCCTTTATTTGTGCCCGTTCACCATCGCTGCTGAATAATTTGTTGGCGGGTCGTGGTGCCACCAAACGGCGACCACCAATGCTGTCACGATCGAATAGCGGTTCCAGTCGTCGTTCAATGCAGGTAAGTGTTATTTTTTTTTAAACGAATAATATGGAACATAGGTATAAGAAAAGTTTGTGAGGTATCAACCAGATTTAAGCTGAACTCGTTTAGGGGAATTTCATAATTTGGGGGACTTTCACTTAGGTCTTCTATTAAGATAAAATTAAACATATATTAATAGAAGGCCTACATAGAGGTCACCTAATTATGATATTCTTATAAACGAGGTCGGGGAAAATCTGATGGGTTACCTCAAGGCCACATCTAATTATAGAGAAGCCTTCTCTTCTTCTCTAAAATTAAACTTATATTAATAGAAGTCCTACATAGAGTACCCCAAATTATGAAATTTCTATGTACGAGATTGGGGAAAATCTGGCTGGTTAACTCAAGGCCTCATCTGATATTAAGAGGCCTTCTCTATAATTAGAAAACCTCTTAAGTTCTTTATAATTAGTAACCTCCTGTACAAGTCTTCTATAACTAAAAATAAAATTTGGAGGTCTCTCTCCTCACACTTCCAAAAGATTATAGTTCCACTAGTTCTTGAGCACGCCAAAAATTCGATTAAGAGTATAGTTCCGTTAGTCCTTAAAAAAATATATTTTTTTCAATTTGGAATTATTGTTTTTAAAGCCCTTAAAAACTCTAGTTTTTAGTTACCAATAATTTTGAGTTTATGGGCCCGAGTGACCTTCAAAATATATTCCTAACAAATCCACGATTTCACGTCCGACAATCATTCCAATCCCTTAAACATTCTCAGATTATAGCTCTGATAGACATTTAAAATATGTTCTTAGAAATCTGAGAATTTTGGAAAAATATTATTTAAAAACTAACACCTAGGTGATTCTTAATAAATATTGTTTTACACACACCAAGTCGCGTTAACTCCTAATAAATTATTTTTCCGATTCCCTCGCCTTGTCCAAAGGGATAATTTGAAAAATGTACGCCTTGGCGGTTGCTGAATAATATTCTTTTACATAGTCCAGGACTTGGAGTCACTTCGAATTTTCTTCTCTCAAAACTCCACGACTTGGTGTTTGTAAACACAAAAAAAATTAAAAAAATCAACCCATAGGAGGCCCTTCGAAAAATAGTACCTGTAAATCTCGAAGCCTTGGTAGGAATTTTGAAAGTATTATTTTAAAAAGTCGATGCCTTTGTGACCCTTCAAAACATATTATTTAAACCAGTAATGAAAGTAGTAAAGTCGGACAGGGCCAATTATATGGTACCCTTCACCACTTCGGGTATGTTCAACAGATGTATCTTAAAAGACTTCGCATTTTGAAGGACCATTAACATGAAATTGAACGAACTTATATATATATATATATATATATATGGACCCATTTACATAAAATCGGACGAAAATATATAAGGGACCTATATCTAAATCTGAAACGATTTCCACGAAACTTAGCATACATAATTTTAGACCTAATGCAGTACGTTGTGCCAAATTTCGTGCTAATCGAAAGATATAAATAGGACGAAAATATATATGGGAGCTATATCTAAATCCGGACCGATTTTCAGGAAACTTAATACACATCATTCTAGACCTAATTCATTACGCTGTGCCAAATTTCTTACAAATCGAAAGATATATAGGGACTTCGATACGCCATTTACATAAAATCGGACGAAAATATATATGGGAGCTATATTTAAATATGAACCGATTTTCAGGAAACCTAATACACATCATTCTAGACCTAATTCATTACGCTGTGCCAAATTTCTTGCAAATCGAAAGATATATAGGGACTTCGATACGCCATTTACATTAAATCGGACGAAAATATATATGGGAGCTATATCTAAATCTGGACCGATTTTCTGGAAACTTAATACACATCATTCTAACCCTAATTCATTACGCTGTGCCAAATTTCGTGCAAATCGAAGTATATATAGGGACTTCGATACGCCATTTACATAACATCGGACGAAAATATATATGGTTGCTATATCTAAATCTGAACCGATTTTTCCCAATAAGGTTCATCTTTGGGCCAAATAATTGACCTGTGCCAAATTTCATCCAATTCGGATCATAAATACGACCTGTGCTTTGTTTACAATTTAACATGGACAGACAGACGGACAGACGGACATGCATAAATCGACTTTAAAAGTGATTATATGCATATTCTCAAAAGGAACCATGTGTCTATCTCGTTTCCTTTTGCCTGTTACAAACATATGCACAAAGACATAATACCCCGTACCACTGTGTCGTGAAGCGTATAACAATGTTGAAAAATATTATTTTAAAAAATCAAGGCCTCGACGTCACTTCGAAAAAAATTTCTTTCAAAAAATATTTTTTTTTAATAATCCTCGACATGGTGGCTCATGAAAAGTATTAAAAAAACTACCGTTTCTCTGGCTCTTGAAAAACATTATTTAAAAAATCAACGCATTATATCTCCTTCGAAAATGGTATCTGCAAAACTCAAAGCCTTGGTAGAAACTTCGAAAATTATTATATTAAAAAGTCAATGCATTTGCGACCCTTCAAAACAGATTATTTCAAAAAATCCACGGCTTAGTGGCCTTTGGAAAATAGTTATTTAAAAAAATCGACGCCTTGATTGTTACTGAAAAAAAATTTCTATTAAAAAAATGACGCCTTAGTGGTTGTTGAACACATTATGTTAAAAAAAAGTTAACCCCACTTTAGTGGATCTGAAAAAAAAATTCTATAAAAAATCCCTTTTAAAAATCACTTTGAAGCGTGTAAAGGAATTATGCAGAATAACACAGTATTTTTTATGAAAAAAAATAAATTTAAACAAAATATTAAAAGAATTGTTTTAAGGGGCATCAAAGCGATTGAAGATTGACTGATTTGAAAAAAATCAATCAAGCTTCAGTCGCCTTGATGCCCCCTAAAACCGTTTAATATTTTGTTTAAAAATTATTTTTTCAATAACAAAAATTCTCTGTTATTTTGCATAATTCCTTTACACGTTTCAAAGTTTATTTGAGTGTAACAAAATTGATTCGAGGTAATTTAACAACATTTAGGCAAATGTTGCGGAAAACACCTTCTACAGACCGAACAGCGATTACAGATTGGATACTACCACCACCCACAATATGTATTAATTCCAGCATTCCCTCAAACCAAACACCAACTATTATCGTTGTTTTTGTTGTTGTTTTGTTCATTTGTACACAAGCATAAATCAATAGATTTAATAATTGATTCAGTTGTTAAAGTAAATCGTCAATGTTTCGCTCCGCTCTCGTGTCTTCTTTTTTTTTAATTCATTTCGATTACAAGTGTCAGTGTCCGCCCAGTTTGTCGATTTATTCATTTTTACATTTTGTTTTTGTCCTTTTGCTTAATGAACGTTAAAGCGGACAAAGCTCGATGAGACTCACAGGCAAGCCCAGCGACGACCGACCGACCGAACAACCCATAGCCACACACAAACATGCAACATTCATGATGAATGCAATGTAAAGCCTACACTGCTTTTATAGCATTACATATGGTAAGGCCTGAGAATGTGTTCATGATGTGTGTTTGTGTGTGTTTGTGTGTGTGTGTGTGTGTGTGTGTGAAACAGCATTGTATGGCACATGTAAATGGACATAATTCCCTGAACATGGAAATTGCACAAATATTTTTTTAACAGGATATCCAACTAGTTGCAAATTCACAACTGTTTGTGTTCGTATCCGTCGTGACTATGTTGGTGTGAATGTGAGAGTTAGACAGAGAGATAGCAAGAAGAGAGAGTTGCGGTTTCAAATGTCAATTCTCTACCAAAATTGTCCTATGAAATCGACCAAATCGACAAGATCTTACAAATATCGTTTATGTATGACAGGAGCCTCATTCATAAAACCACGCTCTTCAAAAAAAAAAACTAAATTTAAAAAAAATCCGATTTTCACGAAATTTAACATACATCGTTCTAGACTTTGTTAAAAACGTTATGCCGAATTTCGTGCAAATCTAAGGATATATAGGGACTTGGATGCATTATTTACCTGAAATCGGACGAAAATATATATGGGAGCTATATCTAAATCTGAACCGATTTTCACAAAATTTAGCACACATCATTCTAGACTCAATTCTGTACGATATGCCACATTTCGTACAACTCGAAGGATACAAAAGGACTTTGAGGCACTATTTACCTAAAATCGGACGAAAATATATATGGGAGCTATATCTAAATCTGAACCGATTTCTATGAAATTTAACACACATCGTTTTAAACTTAATTCAGTACGATATGCCAAATTTCGTGCAAATCGAAGGAAATATATGGACTTTGGTGGACCATTTACATAAAATCGGACGAAATTATATATGGCAGCAATATCTAAATCTAAACCGATTTTCGCGAAATTTAACACACATCGTTCTATAATTAATTCAGTTCGCTGTACCAAATTTCGCGAAAATCGAAAGATATATAGGGACTTCCGTGCACCATTTACATAAAATCGGACGAAAATATATATTGGAGCTATATCTAAATCTGAACCGATTTTCACGAAATTTAACACACATCGTTCTAGAATTCATTCAATACGCTATACCAAAATTCGTGCAAATCGAAAGATTTATAGGGACTTTGGTGCACCATTTACCTAAAATCGGGCGAAACTATATGGGAGCTATATCTAAATCTGAACCGATTTGCACGAAACTTAGCACACATCATTCTAGACTCAATTCAATACGCTATGCCAAATTTCGTGCAAATCGAAGGATATATAGGAACTTTGGTGCACTATTTACCTAAAATCGGACGAAAATATATATGGGAGCTATATCTAAATATGAACCGATTTTTTCCCAATTTCAATAGGGTTCGTCCTTGGGCCAAATAAGTGACCTATGCCAAATTTCATCCAATTCGGAGCATAAATGCGACTTGTACTTTGTTTACAATTTAACATGGACAGACAGACAGGCGGACGGACGAACATGCATAATCGACTTAGAAAATGATTCTATGCATATTCTCAAAAGGAACCCTGTGTCTATCTCGTTTCCTTTTGCCTGTTACAAACATATGCACATAGACATAATACCCTGTACCAAAGTGTGGTGAAGGGTATAAAAATCCACACCACCGTTCTTCTAAAAAAAATCAGTTTAAAAAATCCACGCCTTAATGATTCTTCGAAAAAATTCAGTTTAAAAAATCCACGCCTTAATGATTCTTCGAAAAAATTAAATTAAAAAAATCTACGCCTTAATGGTTCTTCGAAAAAAATAAATGTTAAAAAAATCTACGCCTCTCACTTCCACAATTTATGACCAATTTTTTTTTCCAATTGGAAAATGGCAAGCTCGTTGGCTGGCTCCCCATAATGCACTTTATGCAGATACATAAATATTCCAACATTCACAATCATATGTTTGTCTTGTAGTTGGCGTTGTTGTTGTTGCTTTTGCAATTGCAATTGCTGTTGTGCGCATACAAATTATGTAAAGCATGCATGCAAACAAGTCTTTTTTGCGGTTTTCCGGCTTGGCTTTATTGCAGTCAACAACCCCGAAAAACAACAACTGCAACAACGCAAAAAAAGAAAGAAATTGAGCATTGATTGAATCAGAATTTTATTATGGTTGTCGGTTCGTGGTGTTGTTGTTGTTGTTGTGGAAATAGTGGCAGCCGCTGTTGTAGTTGTTGTTATTGTTGCTGCCATCATCAGGCTGGCTAAATGATGATGGTATTCTTCGTTGAATGGCCAGGCGTTGCAAAAGAACATTTTTATAATTTCGCCACTTGTATGCCTTTTGACTGATTGTTGTAATGAAATGGTGCAACTGAAACTTGAGGCAATAACAACAACAACAGGGACAACAGCAGTTCACACGCCATGCCTCATGCAATGGAATCCTTTGCATTAAATAGGTTGGTACGTCTGCCATTATCGCTTCGATGCTAAGCCCCCAATGGATGCGATTATTTATTATGATTGGGTGTTTTTTTTACTATTGTTGTTGTTGCTGTTCTTGTTGTTCTAGAGCACTTAAACAACAGAAAGAAGTGTGGTAAAACATAATTTTTCCTGTGGGAACCAATAGTCATCATCAATGGGATTAATGGAATTTTTATTTTTTGTTTTTCCTTGGAAGCAATGAAAAACATAATAAAATTTTTATTAAATTTTTTTGTTAAATACAATTCATTGATGAGGTATGTGGAGGAGATTAAAACACACAAGATTTTTTTAAAAAACCAAAACGAAATTAATTATATTGTTAATATTTTTCGAAGGCGTGGTTTTTAAAAATAATATTTTCATAGAACCACCACGGCCTGTTTTTTTTAAATCATTTTGTTCGAAGGACCACCCGTGTGCGTATTAAAAAAAAAATAATGTTTTTTCGAAATACCACCAAGACGTGGTTTTTTTAAAAATTATTTTTGTCGAAGGTCCTGTGGTACAGGGTGTTATGTCTTTGTGCATATGTTTGTAACAGGCAAAAGGAAACGAGATAGACACATGGTTCCTGGAAATTCGACATACGTCAAATATTTCGACCAAGGACGAACCCTATTTAAATTGGGAAAAAATCGGTCCAAATTTAGATATAGCTCCCATATATATTTTTGTCCGATTTGAGGTAAATGATCTACAAAAGTCCCTATATATATATTTCAATTTGCACGAAATTTGGTTCAGTACACGAATAAAGTCAAGAGTGATGTGAGTTAAGTTTCCTGAAAATCGGTTCCGATTTTGATATAGCTCCCATATATATTTTCGTCCGATTTAAGGTAAATGGTGCACTAAAGTCCCTATATATCTTCCGATTTGCACGAAATTTGGCATAGCGTACTGAATTAAGCCTAGAGTGATGTGTGTTAAGTTTCGTGAAAATCGGTTCAGATTTGGATATAGCTCCCATATATATTTTCGTCCGATTTAATGTAAATTGTGCACCAAAGTCCCTATATATCTTTCGATTTGCACGAAACTAGGCATAGTGTACTGAATTAGGTCTAGAATGATGTGTGTTAGGTTTCCTGAAAATCGGTTCAGATTTAGATATATCTCCCAAATATGTTTTCGTCCGATTTAAGGTAAATGGGGCACCAAAATCCCTATATATCTTTCGATTTGCACGAAATTTACATTCAACCGAAGAAGTCAATTGTGAAAACTCAACGTGCTTTTAAAACATTAAAAATTGTGAGAAGTGCGCCTTCTAAGAACACCATTAAGTGTTTATGCGAAAAATTTTCGACTGGTAAGGCTCTTTCTAATCCGAAGAGGCCATATAAAAGTCGACCAAGGCGATTGGCCGAGAATATCGCTGCCGTACGAGCCAGTGTTGAGAGGTCCCCAAGAACATCCCAAAAACGCCATTCTCAGCAGTTGGGCATGGCTCGGTCCACTTTACAACGGATTATTCGCATGGATTTGCATTTGTTCCCGTACAAAATTCAATTGACGCAAAGAATGTTGCCTGCGGACAAGCCTCGTCGATTGGAATGGGCCCAAAGAGTCATCGAAATGGCCGAAGATGACGAGCAATTTTGGAACATAATTATCATGTCCGATAAAGACCATTTCACATTGAATGGCACAGTAAAAAAGCAAAATTGCCGTTTTTCGCCACTAAAAATCATCAGGAGATTCAAGAAGTGCCTCTTCATGACGAAAAAGTCACAGTTTGGTGCGGCAATAGTGCGAAAACGGTCATTGGGCCGTTTTTCTTCCAAAATAAAAATGGTCATGCTGTTACCATCAATCAGGGGCGTTATCGCGACATGATGACCAATTTTGTGATGCCAATTATTCGTCGAAAGAGTATGAGGCAGTTCTGGTTTCAACAAGCCGGCGCTTCACCGCACACAAGTCACATAACAATCGATTTTCTGAAGAATTTGTTTTCGGGTCGTTTGATGTCGAAAAGTGGTGATTTGGACTGGCCACCGCGTTCGTCCGATTTGACGCCGAATGACTTCTTCTTGTGGGGATATTTGAAGTCAAAGGTTTACATTAACAAGCCAAGGACCGTAGAAGAGCTCAAGGACAACATTCGTGAAGAAATAGCCGCTATTCCGGCCGAAATGTTGGCAAAAACGATGGAAAATACAGCAAAAAGGGCACAATACGTCATCAACGCCAGAGGCGGCCATTTGAGAGATATCATATGAAAAAATTGATGTAAACAAATCTACTTGGAACAAATTAAATGATTAACATTGCCAAGCGCCAATTTTTTATTTTTTTCTTTGATTAAAAAAAAAACATGGGTCCGTCGAATATGGGCAACTCTGTACTTATCAAAAAATCAACGGGTGTCCGAATGATATTTGCTTTAAATTGAAAGAACAAATCTATATCTGACCAAATAAAAAATTTAGTATAGATTGCAGAATGACATGCTTATGTATCCATTTTCATGTTAATGGTCCTTCAAAAATGCGACGTCTGTTAAGATACATCTGTTGAATATACCCAAAGTGGTGAAGGCTATAATATAGACGGCCCCGTCCGACTTTACTGCTTTCCTTACTGGTTTTTATTTATTAATGTTTTTTTTCCTCTTCTCCGAATAATTAATTTCCGAATAAAAATCCGCCAAGTAAAATGGTTCTTGCATAATGTGATTCTTTATGGCATCTTTAATTAGTGGATTAAATAAAAAAAACCAATATTATGGATTTCCAATGAAATTAGTTGGGCGATGTGTGGTGTAGTCCTTTTACATACATCGCTGCTTACAATAGTTTAAGGAAAATTAAATTGATACATGGCATTTTTCCATTACAAAAATAAAGCAACAACATCAGAATGTACAATTGGTTACATTTTTGATCTGCGAATATTTCCAGCTTGCACGCGGGCGTAGTCGAAAGTGGGAGTTTCCAAGGATGGGTCATATATTTAAGGAGATACTCACCAAACATTGCGATATGATAAATGTTTGCATTATATGTCCCCTCCCCCTTAGTCTGCGCTATTATGGCCCTGATAAACATTTTGTATTCTATGACACGAGTTCATTTTATCTTCTGTCGTCTTGCGTGTGTGTGTTTTTTTTTTTGCAATGAATTATATTACCGTTTAACTGTATTTGTAATTCGGTTTATGTGTTGTCAGTGTGTATGTGTGAGTTGATTTTTTCTTCATTTTCATGTTTCGTTCATTTTCATTTCAGCTCAACTCTCGCGATGAACCGGAAAAAACCTTCAAAGTTGCCATGCCGGACAATGCTTATTCAACGGTTTATCTACGCGATGCCATGTCGGTGGAGGAGTTTCTGGCCAGTGCCTGCGCCCGACGTAATCTCAATCCAATGGAACACTTTGTGCGTGTTAAAAAGCGACGTGACATGGAGGATCACAATTACTTTGTGCCACATCGTAACGACCTGATAGAGAATTATGTAAGTACAGTTACAGCAACAAATGACAATCAACAAATTAATATCCTGTCCAAAAAAAAAGTCGTATAAAAACGGGAATGGGTGTGCGAAAAGTTGTTGGTCATAGCACCACCAAACTCAACAGGTCAACTTTCTGCTTCCATTTTATTCGACACCCCAGAGCAATGACTTTGTCTGAAACAAGTCTATAAAACTCATCGGTGTTGAAGGTGTTGAAGTCAAAAGACAAAGAGAGGAAACAAAAGAAAAGTGATGACGACGAAAGAAAAGAAAACTTTCCAGACAGCCGTCGTTTGTTGTCGTTTGTTATTCTTGTAGTCCATTATTTCATTGCTATGCTGGTTGGCTGGCTGGCTGACTGGTCGGGTGGTAGGTTGCTACCGGACAAGTAGAATAATAAAGGCTGGTCAGCATGTCAAAAGGATATCATAGTGGGGACATTGTTGCAATATAAGCACCTTTCCCCTGTATTTGTTGCACTTTATACATGCCAGGATTTTTTTGTTATTTGTTTGATAACACCAAGTTCCAGCTTCCACCTCTCTTCATGCCATCTACCATCTATGCTAGACATTAAAAGAAACTGGGATCAAAAGGTTTGCACTTTGATCTGGCCCAGCTACAACAACACCACCACTTTGTTATTTCTGTCCCATCATTGTCGTCGTCATCGTCATCATTGCCATCCTTGCCATTTCATCTCTGTCAGGCCAGGCCACCTCTCACTTTGTATAGCCTTTATTATTAGCCTCACACTCAATCCGTGAAGCAACAGTCAGCCAGCTGGACACGGAAAATGCAAATGAAATTTCACTGGTGATGACACACATACACTCACACACGCGGCTGAGGCCATGGTCGGTTGCATTTTTGTAAACCGGCTCTGTTGTCTTTTTCCTCGCTATGTAACAGTGCTCGTTAGCTACAGAAACAGGACATCGATTGTTTTCAACCATATTTTTTTTCAGATCATAACAACTAAACTTTTTAACGGAAGTTAGCCTCGGTATTGTTGAAAGTCAAAACCATGTGAATTTCGGTACAAAAAAAAAAAACAAATGACAGGGGTCCATACAATATGTGTTAACGGCGGAATGGAAACATATTTCTGACTTTTAATTGTCAAATGTAAAACAAAAAAACTCAGAACACATGAGGAGGCAAAAAACGTATAAGATTTTTATTTAAAAAAAATTACACCTTCGTGGTCTTTGCAAAAATATTCTTAACCAGTAAGGAAAGTAGTAAAGTCGGACGGGGCCGACTATATATCCTCCACCACTTTGGGTATATTCAACAGATGAATCCTAACAGACGTCGCATTTTTAAAGGACCAGTAAAATGAGATTGGATCCATAAACATGTCATTCTGCAACCGATACTAAATTTTACATTTGGTCAGATATAGAAGCTATATTCAAATCTGAACCGATTTCAGGAATCTTAACACATATCATTCTAGACCTAATTCATTACGCTGTGCCAAATTTCGTGCAAACCGAAATATATTCAGGGACTTTGGTACACCATTTACCTTAAATCGGACGAAAATATATATGAGAGCTATATCTGAATCTGAATCGATTTTCACGAAAATTAACATCCCTAATTCATTATGCTGTACATATGGTACAGCATAAACCAACCAGGCGGGTATTTTGAAAAATATATATTTTTTCATGAACCAAACAGGGGTGGATCTTTTTTTAACGAATATTTTTATACCCTTCACCACACTGTGTTACAGGGTATTATGTCTTTGTGCATATGTTTGTAACAGGCAAAAGGAAACGAGATAGACACATGGTTCCTTTTGAGAATATGCATAGAATCACTTTCTAAGTCGATTTATGCATGTCCGTCCGTCCGTCGGTCTGTCTGTCCATGTATTTCTGTGAGCAAAGTACAGGTCGCATTTATGATCCGAATTGGATGAAATTTGGCACAGCTCATTTGTTTGGCCCAAGGACGAACCCTATTGAAATTGGGAAAAATCGGTTCAGATTTAGATATAGCTCCCATATATATATTTAACCGATTTAATGTAAACGGTCCCTATATATCTTTCGATTTGCACGAAATTTGGTACAGCATAATGAATTAGGTCTAGAATGATGTCTGCCAAGTTTCGTGAAAATCGGTCAAAATTTAGATATAGCTCCCATATATAGTTTCGTCCGATTTCATGTAAATAGTGCCCCAAAGTCCCTATATATCTTTCGATTTGCACGAAATTTGGCATAACGTACTGAATTAAGCCTCGAGTGGTGTCTGCCAAGTTTCGAGAATATCGGTCCAGATCTAGATATAGCTGCCATATATAGTTTCGTCCGATTTCATGTAAATGGTGCACCAAAGTCGCTATATATCTTTCGATTTGCACGAAATTGGGCATAACGTACTGAATTGAGTCTAGAATGATGTCTACGAAGTTTCGAAAAAATCGGTCCAGATTTAGATATAGCTCCCATATATAGTTTCGTCCGATTTCATGTAAATGGTGCACCAAAATCCCTATATATATTTCGATTTGCACGAAATTCGGCATAACGTACTGAGTTGAGCCTAGAGTGATGTCTGCCAAGTTTTGAGAAAATCGGTCCAGATTTAGATATAGCTCCCATATATAGTTTCGTCCGATTTTATGTAAATGGTGCACCAAAGTCCCTATATATCCTTCGATTTGCACGAAATTTGGCATATCGTAATGAATTACGTCTAGAATGATGTGTGTTAAGTTTACTGAAAATCGGCCCAGATGTAGATATAGCTCCCATATATAATTTTGTCCGATTTAATGTAAATGTTGCACCAAAGTCCCTATATATATTTCGATTTGCACGAAATTTGGTATTGCGTAATGAATAAGGTCTAGAATTATGTGTGTTAAGTTTCGTGAAAATCGGTTCAGATTTAGATATAGCTCCTATATATTTTTTCTCCCGAGTGTGTGTAAATTGTGCACTAAAGACCCAAAGTTTGTCTGATTTCCACACAATTGGTACAATGAACTGTAGTTACTATAATACATTTCCTTTACATTGCGCTATATAATTTTGTCCCATTGTAAGAAACAACCCTATATCTGACCAAATGAAAACTTTAGTGTAGGTTACAGAATGACATGTTTATGGATCCATTTTCATGTTAATGGTCCTTCAAAAATTCGACGTCTGTTATGATTCATCTTTTGAATATACCCATAGTGGTGAAGGGTATCATATAGTCGGCCCCGTCCGACTTTGCTGCTTTCCTTAATTGTTTAAAATGTTAAAATAATATTTGTTCAAGGTCTTTTTAAGGGTATTTTTATACCCTCCACCATAGTATGGAGGGTATATTAATTTTGTCATTCCGTTTGTAACACGTCGAAATATTCATTTCCGACCCTATAAAGTATATATATTCTTGATCAGGGTAAAATTCTAAGACGATCTGGCAAATGTCTGTCCGTCTGTTGTAATCACGCTATCTTCTTGAAGGAATTGAGATAGGGTGCTGAAATTTTGCATAGGGTTGTCTTTTGTCTGCAGGCATGTCTAGTTCGAAGATGGGATATATCTGTCCACATTTAGGCATAACAGTACACCCCAATTTTCGGTATTTTGGGGTTCTTGAGTGCGTTTTTCAACCGAATACGCTGAAATTTGGTACATTGGGTTCTTATTGTGTACTAAATGTTTCCACAAAAAATTATGAGTATATGTCCACTTTTTCTGATAGCCCCCATATAACGGTACCTCCTAATTTACAGTATGTTGGGGGTTTTGATCGTATTTTTCTACCAAATTGGCTGTAATTTAGTATTTCGAGTTCTTAATGGGTACCAAATTTCTCCACAAAAAATTATGAATATAGGTCCATTTCTTCGGGTAGCCCCCATATAAGGGTACCCCCCAATTTTCGGTATTTTGGGGTTCTTGAGCGCGTTTTTCAACCGAATACGCTGAAATTTTGTACATTGGGTTCTTAATAGGTTCCAAATCCCTTCACAAAAAATTATGAATATAGGTCCATTTTTTCGGATAGCCCCCATATAAGGCTACCCCCCATTTTCGGTACTTTGGGGTTCTTGAGCGCGATTTTCAACATAATTCGCTGCAATTTGGTATTTTGTAGTCGTATATGGTAACAAATCTCCCTACCAAAATTTTTTTATATTCGCCCCCTTTTTGGGGTAGTCCCCATATAACCCCCTTTTTTATATTAAAATAGTTATCTAATTTGTTCCGCGTTTTGGGTTTGGTTCTAAGAGTCTGTCGTAATTATTTAACATGCGGAGGATATCGAAATAAAGTTAGAACGTAAGGTTCGATAATGAACTATACATGAACTAAAACCCGCATTTAGTCCCTAGCACCTGTGTGGGAGGTATCAGAGGGAGTGGGCCGATAGTCCACATCTTCGAACCTAAACTAAGTTTGGAAGAATAATTAGATAGGCACAGGTTGGATAAAATCAACATTTTCTGGAACATGGTTCACATTATGGTTTACATAATCGCGTTGTAGAAATGTCGGTATAGGTCCACTTTTTGGTATTTTCCCTACATTTTCATTTCAACTACCTTTTAGTATATCTATGGTGGAGGGTATCCCAAGTTCGGCCCGGCCGAACTTAAAGCTATTTCACTTGTTTAAATAATATTTTGTTGGTAAATAAAGCGTAATTTTTTCAGAATAATATTTTTAAGGATAAAGGATTTTTTTAAAGGGCCTCGAAAGCTTAGATGTTTTAAAATAATATTTTTTTCAAGGTCCTTCAACGATTTTTTAAGTTTTTTTTTAACAATTTAAAATGAATCATCAAAAAATTGGATAAAAGAATCCTTCATGAATTCAATCCTCACAATAGCAATGCGGACCAAATATCTAATAAATTGTAATTAACTTTCAAAAATTATTAATATTTCATTTAGTATCAACATTGCATTAATGTGTGCAATTAAATACTTGAAACTTTTGCTAATCACAGCTATGGCATTTCACACACAAGCACAC